GAGGAGGAGGAGGAGGAGGAAAGGAAAGGAAAGGAAAGGAAAGGAAAGGAAAGGAAAGGAAAGGAAAGGAAAGGAAAGGAAAGGAAAGGAAAGGAAAGGAAAGGAAAGGAAAGGAAAGGAGGCATAGTTATGAAGAATTGCACTTCATAATTCCTACCCATAGCGATTAAAGTTATGTATTACACACACCTCACAACATTCGTAATGTGATCTGGTTTGGATGACCCACCAAGTTTTTCCGTATCAATTTGTTGGAGGCCACATACCCTCTTAATTGTAAATGTTTTTGCTAGATAAATATTAGTGTGTGAACCTGCACGGCCTGCATGTACAGTTTCGTATTAAGGAGGCAATCCTAAACTTATTGCCCAGAAAATAAATCTGATCGATTTCTGGATGGGTATGCACAGGGTTGCACTCTAAATATTTCCAATATTATTAGTTTAGCTTTATAAAGAACATCAGCAACTGAAAGTAATGATTAATCCAGTGATTTATTCAAAAATCTAAGTCTTAACAAAATGTTTCTTAAAATTAAGAATGGGAAGGTATCTTGAATATTTCAATTAAGCTTCTAACCAAAATGCAATCGATGCACATAGAAGACGTTTCTACTTTTAATCAACGCAGTTGAAATTTGTTGTAATCTGAATTATATGGGATAGCCCTGTCCATTCCTTGTAGCATTGCGGGGTGTGTGGGTGTGATCTTTTCCTTTTCACGGAAAAACCGATTCAATTCTTGCCAGCTGCAGCAAGGAGGATGTCCGGGAAAGCCACCCAACTTGGTCCAACTATACCATTCCCCTCCTCCTCCATAATCCAGGCCGCATTTTGCCTTGGGCTGGAAGCCGGAGGCTGCCCAGCCTCTGGCAAGAGCCAATCAGAGCGCGTCCTCCAGCACGTGGAGGAGAGGGAATCAAGAGCCAAGCGATTGCAGCGCAGTCACTACCCTGGTTCCTCGTGTCCTGGGCAGGAAGAGGGGCGAGCCTCAGCTGCTGCTTAGTGGGGGGAGGGGTACAGCCCCAGCCAAAGCTCCAGCCCCCGCACGGCCCGGAAGAGTGCAAGCAAGCCAAAGCCATGAGCAGCCAATACCAAGAGGAGAACTGCTCCGAGAGGCCCGAATGCAAAAGTAAATCGCCAACTTTGCTCTCCTCCTATTGCATCGACAGCATCCTGGGCAGGAGGAGCCCTTGCAAGATGAGGCTGCTAGGAGCAGCTCCCAGTCTGCCGCCTCTGGCCAACCGGACGGAGCCGGACAAGGCTGGGCAAGGTGAGAGAGGGTTAAGAGCACCGGAGAGAGGAGGGCGGAAAAGGGAGGCAATTTAGCTTCGAAGAGATGGAGGGCAGATTCCTGCCTTGCCCGCAGCCCTGGATATCAACTCTCCTGGCTGCTGTTCTTTTCCACTCCGCCCTCGGCCCAGGGACTACGTGGGGTGAGGGCGCTTCTCGGCAGCTGAGTCCCAAACTCGGGCGGTAGCAACTTGGGCAGCCGGGCAGCTGGAGGCCGAATCATATTCGGAAGAACTCTGCTCCCCGTGCGCATCTTCCGCCCCCTCGTTCTTGTCTCAAACTCCCTCTCCGTGCACCCAGCTGAACTCCCTCAAGGTTTACGCTACTCGAGGAGAAGGGGGGGGGGGGCTGGATGCAAAACCGAGGATCTCTTTTTCTGTCCCACTCCCTTTACGGGTTTGGGCGGGTGGCGTTGTGATGACAAATGACGACCGTTGTCAAGAGTTTTGTGAGGGTATTTTCTCCAGCTTGGCAGCGCCTTTGCCTGCCAGGCCTAGATTAAAGGCGAAACCATCTGGGAAACGGGGGGAGGGGGGAGAGTCCAGTTCAGTGTCCACATCTTGTAGGAAATTGGATACTCCGTTCTGATTTTCTTGATGAAGGGAGAATTGAAGAGAATTCGGTTTTTTCTAAATCACTTTCTCTCCGGCCTGGAGTTCCAGATTTGGCTTCAAAGGCGGGTCTGTCTTGCTACCTCCAGAGAAATGTGGAAATTAATTTGACAGAACCCGACAGGTGTCAGATACCAGCTGGAGGAAAGGGAACCCCTTTAAAGTTAGTATTTGAAGGTAATAATGTTTGGAACCAAAACGAGTTTGGGAGATATTCTCCGGTAATGCTGTTTGCTGCAACTTCTTCCATATATAAGCTTGATTCTATATCCTGTATAATTAAGGTGACATTTGTATACCGCCCTGAAATTCTGTAAACCGTCCTGAAATCTGTGTATGAACAAAAGAGGCGTTGTATGTTATTAAAGAAGGGGGAAATTGCCTGGATTCTGACGGAATTCCTTTGGGCTCTGTTGACTCAACCTTGATAGCTCAGCGGGAAGAGGGGCGCGGGGGGGGGGG